TCTTTCTTGCACAAGAGGAATGGCAGAGCTGCAGCGGCCCTTTACAAACGCAGCAGAGTGTGTCTGCGCAACAGTGCGGCTTTGATGACCTTAACAGTAGAAGTAGCCAGTGCTCCAGAACAACTCTTTCAGGCCTTAGCCAAGACCAGCCCTTCCTAGACGCACTAAGGAACTGCTCTCAATTTGGCAATGCATTTGATGGTGTTTGCAGAAATTGCACCCAGGCAATCTTAGCTCTGAGGGACTTTTTATTGAAAAAGTATGGCGTGAAGGACGAGAACAAAACTGAAACAGCCATATGTGGTGTAGCTGCTATGATTTCTATTGCAGCAGCAAATATGAAAGGTTCCTTTTCGGTCGATATTGACTACATTCAGTGTTTGTCTATGTTAGACAAGTTTGGTATGAAACTACTTCATGCTGCTCAATCAAAATTTTCAACTTCTAATTGACTTAATCTTTATTTCTATTCTATGAGCTTGAATTTATCTGTTCAATTTGTATTTTTGTTTTTGTTCCACATGCAGAACCAGATTACATCAAACTCAAGTGTAAGTAAAACTAGTACTATTTCAATTTACTTTATTTCGTGCAAATTCACTTACAAACTTCAAGTATACTCATAGAAGTTAATCATTTAATCTATCAGATTCTTTGGCAGAGGCGATATTTTCAATCTTAATAGCCATCACTGCAGTGATGCTGATCGTCCTGCTGATTAAATATGTGAGCAAGAAGAAGCCTCAAAAACCGGTTCAATCAGGACCAATTACTACATGGTCCGGCCTGTATAGATTCTCCAAGGCTGAGATTGAGAATGCCATAAATTTTGAGAGAAAGGACCTTGGAAGAGGAAGTGCTGGTCAAGTTTATAAAGGTGTTCTTCCTAGTGGACAAGTCGTGGCCATTAAGCACATAAACAAGAGCAATACTTCTGATTCTTTTACACGAGAAGTCGAAGGTCTTTCAAGGGTTCGACATCCAAATTTGGTTTGCCTCTTTGGTTGCTGCGTTGAAGATGGAGAGCAATTTCTTGTGTACGAGTATTGCGCAGCAGGGAATCTAGCTCAACACCTCCTAAGTAATTCTTTTGATCTTTACGAATTGCTAGATAAAACACATTTAATTCGTTAACATGTTTGAAATTAATTTTCTTTAAGGAGCATGACTAGGTGAGAATAATCATATGTGTGTGTGTGTGTGTGTGTGTCTCTCTCTCTCTCTCTCTCTCTCTCTCTCTCTCTCTCTCTCTACATTGATCAGGAAATGATCCTGTCTTAACATGGGAAAGAAGAGTTAAGATTCTGAGAGATTGTGCGCTTGCTTTGAGGTATCTCCACCACTATATAGATGGATGCATTGTTCACAGAGATATTAAGGTAATAATTGAATATGATATGCTTCTTTGGTCTACACTACAGTTAATTCCTCTTGATCCATAATATATTGATATTGATGCATTTATTTTTTTGCTTTGTAGCTTACCAACATCCTTTTGACTGAGAACTTGGATCCCAAGCTTTCTGATTTTGGGTTGGCAAAGATGTTGGGGATGGAGGAGAGCAAAGTATTTACAGATGTCAGAGGAACCATAGGCTATATGGATCCAGAATATATGACCAATGCCAAGTTAACCTGCGCCAGTGATGTCTATAGTTTTGGTATTGTTTCTCTGCAACTGCTATCAGGGCAAAAAGTATTTGAGCTGGATCTTGATGCTAGAGACCAACTGACAAGAAAGGTACACCCAACTTCATTTCTGCCTAGGGCTAGAGAGAGAGAAAGAGAGAGATTAATCAATTCTGTTTTTTTTTTGTTACTCTTTGCAGGCAAAGGATATAAGTATGAACAAGCGCCCACCTGAGGATCTTGAGGACCCAAGACTAAATGGAAATGTCAACAAGGTGGACTTTGAATCAATCCTACAAGTTGCAGTACTTTGTGTTGCCAAATCAAGCAAAGGTCGCCCAACAATCGATCTCGTGTACGAAGAGATGGACAAGGCTTGGAAGAACACTCTTGCTGACATGGTTAGGCACCAGCCACTCAAAACTTGCAGCCATTGATGCTATAGGTTATTGTTGTACTAACCATGCTGATAAGTGTTTTCTACTTTTGTTTGACTGCAGAAGAAGGCAAAGAAAGGGATAAGTTCCTCAGCAACACCACTGTCTATATCTTCGGATGTGTTTTCAGTTTGACATGCAAAGGTTCATGATCAACAAGGTTTTGGGTTCTTGGCTGGCGCTGTTTTAGATATTTATTGTTCAAGAGTAAGATTGGTGTTTAATTATTAGGAAATAACGATGTAATCAAGGTTGATACTGCATAGTAGTTGTCGCATTAATCCTAGAAATCCTCGTCATGTACATATAATGTACATTTTCCTTGTTATAAACGAGAAAATATATAGAATGCATTTTCCATTGGCATGAGAAAAAGTGAAGCTCCCAAATCACAAACAGAAAGAAGAAAGATTCCAAGCTGATTAAAGAAAATTGCTTAAACTTGACAACTTATGAGAGTAATTAGGCTAACTTTTCTTTTATCATGCAGCCAAACAGAAACCAACCTAGAGAATAAAATCTAATTGGATCCACAGGGGCCTCGTAGCCAGCCACACAAAAAAACAAAGCAAAGCAGCATCACCGGCTAGCCACTTTGTTATTGTTTGGGCCTCAAATTCGGCACGCCAAATCCAAGTAAATATGGCCCATGACAGGAGAAGGAGTTTTGGGCCCTGTTCCGGAAAAGACAGGGATCAGCCCAGTTGATTTTTGGAAGCTCAAGCCCCTGAGAACCAATAAGCAAAAAATGGGCCCAATTTCAAAAGATCTCCAAAAGCCCAAAAGGAATTGATCACCACTGACGATCGCCCAATTTCAAAAGATCTCCAAAAGCCCAAAAGGAATTGATCACCACCGACGATCTCAAATCAAATCAGAGAAAATATTCTGAAAAGTTTCCTTTTTTAAAAAAGAGGGAGGCTCAAGTGACATTGAAAGTCAAATTCTCAACTGAAGAAGTGATTGGGAGTTAATGAAAGTAGGTTAACTAGAAGAACACTCCCCATAAACCATTTGAAATGACCAGAAGGAAGGGACATCCAAGTTGCCCTTCTACACCCATAGAGGACTCTACATTGGAACATGATATGTTTTTCAAGAAATAAAACATGAGACAAGAGAGTTGTTCGCCATAAAAAGTTAGGAAAAAACCATCATAGAGTCTGGTTGTTGATGTTTTTGCCTCGCCAGGATAATAACTTCCCCTTTTTTATGGCATTAAAAAGGGGAAAATCTTGTTGAAAGATCTGCCGCCCAGTTTTTAAGGATTAGAAATAGACCTCATTCAAGAGTTCTCTATAAATAAGAGAAGAGTTGAACAGATTAAGACAGACAAAAAATCAATCAAGACAAAAATTCTCAACCCATATTGACAAATTCGAAAAAACAAAGTCATTTAAACCTCAAAGGCCTTCAGACTCTGAAGCAATCAAACGAAACAGCCAGAACTTGGTTCATTCCAATTCAAAGAAACATTCTCACAAAGGAAACAATATTTTCTTATTACAAATTTGGTTCAGCCTAAGCCAAATCGAGTAGAGTTCGGGTTTTTATAATATGAAAACCTCAACAAATTTTCAGGGACGTTCCGAATGCTCAAAATTGCTAGAATAGTTTTTGATTAATTCATAATCAAGCAAAGCAGATATTGTGTGGCAGTTCCAGATCAGAAATCGTCAATCCAGACTGAAGAAATATCAATTCTGTCCACCCAGCAAGCCTCTACATGGCCAGAACATATTAAAGCTCTGTCAATCTCGACATTGGTATCGATTTACAGTTGAAGATACTAACGTACAATTCCAGTATAGATGTATCCAGTCCAGCCTGCTTCACCAAAACAGATAGAAGTCAAAGCCCAATGTTCTGTCTTTCCAGACTTGGCAGCTTTTCCTTGTTTATTGCTCAATAGTTAGCTTATATTCCAAACAGCTTAACTTATTTTCCAAGCTTTTATTTTGGCTAGAACTGCTAGTTTTGTACTGTGAAAAATTATGAAGTCCTCACCAGTCTGAGGCAAGAAAAAGAACTTACTTGGGAGATATTCATCACCCAAATTCACAATTGCTTGTTTATAATCAATAACTTGGGGCGCAAGTTATCTATTTTTTAGAAGTCTGCTAGTGTTTTAACCGCTAGCAGTGGCACGCTCATACAAAAGAAAGTTGACTTGTCGACCACCAATGGTTTTCAAGCCAATGGGGAACTTTACCCTACCATCACAGGAGACAAACCAAAACGGGTGAACAGTTATGTTACTCTAAACTTTTAAAACTTTTAGCACGACCATTATTTTTATTTGAATGTGTGGTCGAGATTGAGAATCTTACAACATTGAACTTTAGATATCTAGCAAAGTTTTCCCCGATCGGATCGATCCGCTAGCATATATGGCAGCAAAAAATAATCGTCATTGAGGTGAAAGTAAGTTAATTAGTAGATGAGATCCATGCATGTGTGGTGCTTAAAATCCCACCCTAAAATGTTAGCAAAATTATACAAAAATTTAGGGCAAACAGGCCACTTATAGAAACAGTGTTGTAAAAGCCGTCTCAGTCTTTAAATGGAAAATGGATTCAAAAGTGTATTTGATGTTGCTTCTGTGAAAGAGCATCAAGGCATTAATTTGAGGTGTTATTTGACGGCAATAATTTCTCTTGGCAGGTGGACACGATGTGACATGACGATATCTGATAAGTTAGCCGTTGCATTAATCTACGTAGCATAATAATATCTGGGCAAGCTATGATGCCTGCAAAATAACCAAGCCACCTCTTGCATGGTTTAGAACTTTAGGTACTTCTTCAGTCACATATAATTAATTTATCATATAATAAAATCAGGTTTAATTTGTCACACGTATTTCGTAATCAGTTGGCCTAACCTAACTCTTATCTATCTTGCTTATAAAATGAAGTTATCTAAGAGATGAAACTTAAGCTTTTTTTCAGTTTCTAATTTACTACATAGGCACTGAAAAGAGCTTCACCAACAGAGAAAAAGAAAAAAGTACAAGAAGCTATACAAAAACATCTTCATCAGTCATCATCACCAGCAGAAAGAATGAAGTTCTTGAGTAATGAACAACTAGCTTTCGTATTCGGTCTCTTAGGTATATATCTCAATTTTCACTAAACCGTTTCTGTGTTTTTAGTTGTTTTTTTTCAGTAATAGAAAGCTAAAACATGACTGTAAACATCATCAAAATGTTGCGGAAAATTTTATATGGAACATCTTTAATTGTTCTTAATAGTCCTAAATTTATAAGTTGGTTTGCTTTAGATTCCTGTTATCTGATTCTGACCCAACCTGGGTATTCATAGGTAACATTGTGTCATTCATGGTGTTCTTGGCGCCAATGTAAGACCCTTTTACTTTTGAAAATGTTTGCCCTTCACATCTCTATGAATAAATTGCATTAGGCTAACTGTTTCCCCCATTTCTCTATCTCTATCTTTCTCTCAGACCAACGTTTTACACAATATACAAGAAGAAATCATCCAAAGGCTTCCAATCCATACCTTATGTGGTTGCCCTTCTTAGTGCAATGCTGTTATTGTATTATGGTGTCCTCAAGACCAATGCCTTTTTGATCATCAGCATCAATGGCATCGGATGCGCTATAGAAATTATTTACCTCATATTCTACATTGTATATGCATCCAAGAAGGACAAGGTCACTGCATTTAAATGACGATTTCCGTCTATACGTTTTGTTATTAACATGTTATCGATAATAATATGTTTTTTAGAAAGAAAAAAAAAAAACATTTGAGGGCTATTTTTGATGGAGATCTCCTGCTTCTACACCTTGTAGATTACTACAATGAGTTTGATACTGCTGGTGAACGTAGCGGCCTTTGGGTTGGTGATGGCGGTTACAGTCTTTCTTCTAGGAGAAGCCAAGCGTGTTAGCGCTGTTGGATGGTTATGTGCTGTGTTCAACATTGCTGTCTTTGCTGCTCCTTTAAGCATCATGGTAAGTTTTCTCTTAATTCATTTCCACTTATTTCTTTAAACCCAGCATTATGGTAAATTAATCAGCTGACATGTATTTTACATTATTGCAGAGGCAAGTAATAAGAACCAACAGTGTAGAATACATGCCATTTTCTTTGTCATTTTTCCTCACACTTTGTGCAACCATGTGGTTCTTCTACGGCCTCTTCACAAAGGATTATTACATTGCAGTAAGTAAACTAGTACCAATTTCTAATTTCATTTCTTGGGTTTGACTTGAGGCTAATTAATTCATTGTTATGCTATATTAATTTGACATGGTCATTGGATGGCCAGTTACCAAATGTGTTGGGATTCTTATTAGGCATCGCTCAAATGATCCTATACCTCACATACAAGAATTCAGGGAAAAATGATGCAGAAAATAAAGGCAGTCAAGAGATGAAGAAGTTCATGAGCCGCAACCGCCCAAAGCTAATGCGCAGTGTTAGTGATTTACCCAGAGCAGATAAATTGATGCAGACTACGTATGTCTTCAATCAGCAGCAGCAGCAGGAATCGAACGACAACCACGTATAGTTCCTACTACATAAGCTCAAGAAACATTGAAGATCGATCATAACCTATAATTCTAGCCATACGTAATTTGATATTTTTGTTGCTTATATATGAATATCTATAGTGTATTATACAAATATATAATTGTGTCTCTCACTGTCACCATGGCAATAATTTGGCGAATAAAGCCTTCCAGCGAAGGTGATGCCATTAGTTTATGTGGAAAAGGGAAGACTTAGAATACAGTGATTCACAACATGCGATTTCATATTAGAAAATGTTCAGAGCACAAGAAGTTGTCCCATATCATCCTCATATTTTCCTCGAGAATTTCAGAAATCGAGCTAACTTCAACCTTCTCTTCCTGAAAATTGAAAGAAAAGGAGGCAAAGCTAAATCTTCGATGATTGTACGAATAATCAAGTTCAATGTAATTGAGGCAAAGCTAAATAAGCATCACCCTAGTAACTAAAAGGGGAAACTATCTAATTTTCAGAAGAGGTCTGAACTACAATTTTATTCAGTTGATGCTGAATGGATATTTGTTCCATGGGACATCATCCTTATGAATAGCACAGTACTAGCACTACATGTTATTTATTTAAAGAAGATGAGGAGGAGGACAGTTTTGCAAGCATGATTTAAAATGCTGGTTGAGCTTAAAAATTCAGAACTATTGAATTCTAGTACCACACTTAAGTCAGACAAAAATGAGGTCTCTTCAATGCCTATACGAATATAGTATATACAGTGGCAAGGGGAAAATATCCCAGAGAAAAGGCAGGCACTTACCTGTAACTTTGACAAGACCTTTTTCAACATCAGACTAACCTCCCAGGTAGCTTCCCCAGTTGAGGTCCTAAAATCAAATCGATCAGCATGTCTTACCTTCAGTCTTAATGATGGATTTGCATACATATTAGCTATTACATGCCAAATCCCAACAACTTTGTATCTATCTCCAGAAGACTCCTTCCCCAGGGGCCATCTCAACCCACCCTTCACATCTGGATCTAGAACCGCAGAACTAATCAGATCCCTAATGCTTTGCATCTCGTCATCCTGAAATAGAAATGGATTAATCTGATCACAGAACCTCAATCCAAGATGCAAGAGTTCATCCAGGGATCCAATGTGGTTAACCCTCATTGTCCCACCACATTATTAGCATTTCAACAATTTCTCTCATCTGTTTCAATTGTGGATCTATACTAAATAGATTATAATTAATTCCTTGAACTTCTTCCCCCAAAACAACAAAGAATAGAACTGAAAAGTTTAAAAGGTATTTGGTTAAGAAACTTACAGTCAGAGCTGTTACAAGTCTCTTCGTGCATAGCATCACCCTCAGGTCCAGATTCTTATTAGGGCATGATATGTCTATGACCATGTCACGAAGTTGATTTAGTTCAATCTGAAAGAAAGCTGACATTTTTATGTAAGTCTCAATAAACGGACTCTACAAGAAGCAACAGGGAAAAACAAGGGAGGAGAGAGTCAAGGGATTCGCAAAGCCCATCATACTTTATTCAAAAAACTGGACAGTTTAATCACATTCACCTGATGACCATTTAATTTTCTTATACAACACTGGTATTTTGCAGTACAATAAACTATATTTAGTCAATAACATGGCAACAAAATCATGATTTGTTTCATCCAATTTAGTTCACATGAATTAGAAAACTTACCTTGTAAAGTTGTAGCTTTCCGTGGTCTTTCATTACACTACATTTGCAGGAGAGAATTGAATCTGGTCTTGTTGAATCGGATAACTAGACAAGAAGGAAATAAATGAGGGATTCAATGGACAAAATCCGAAATATGGAAAGCATGAATTCAGTAAGTTGATGTGTATGCAAAAAGAAATACCTTTACGTGGTATACATCTTTCTCCTCTTCAAAATCAACTCCAATGTTTGGGACAACTTCCTTTAGAATGTTTTCCTTATATGAAACAGGAAGATTCGTGTAAAATAACCTCTTCCACTGTTTCAAGATTTCAGTATCCAAATTATTTCTGATAGGTTCCATGTTAACTGAAGGGCTCCTGAATTACAAAGATTCCAATAACATTTGGTTTAGATCTGCTCATGTACAACTAAGGAATATAACTTGGTTTTCCATTGCTACAGAACTAGTACGAAATATGAGATGATTGACAGTAACCAGGCATCAAAATCAACAAATTATTGTATTAAGTAAGGTGTAAATTAGTGTCGTGGTAAGTACAGTTTAGTATCTACACTATACAGAAAAACAAAGGCAGGGTTTCAGAATCCTGCTTCACTGTCCAACTTGGTATCCGATCTCCTAAGATAAAAATGCCAAAATCTAGCCAACTAATATTCTTAGGCTCAAAAGAAGGATAAACGCATGAATCAAGTGAATGAATGGCACAAAAGGCTCAATAGCAGCAAGTATAAAAGAAGGAAATCTAACCTCTGAAAAAGTACTTTTCCCACTCTAGCAACCAACGACGGCTTTACTTCTTCAAGCTTTGGGCACTTCATATCATTCTTCACATTTTCAAAAGAAGAAAGTAGGTCTTCCAGCACATTTTCTGCTAGCGATAGCCAAGGGCTCTTTGGCAAGTACCATTTCACCTCACTGCCTTCTATCAAGTATCAACAAAGAAAAACAAACAGACCAAGTAAGCAAAAGAAAATTACAAGATAAATGCGCTAAAAGAAATATTAGAGCACTAACCCTTATCTAGACTAGCATTGATTAAAGCTAGAGGCTTTTCTCCAGTTCTCCTCTCAGTGGTTTCCAAGGAAATGGGCTCAAGATTAACAGAAGATGGAAACTGGTTCTCATCATCCAAACCAATGATGCACCATCTCGATCTAGCATGGTTTGCATAAATTACCTTTCCATCCCAATCCGCATTAGACTTAGATGATCGCAAATTCAATTTTTTCTTGAATTGAGGAGCAAGTAGCTCCGGAGTTGGCAACGGCCTCTCCGTTTCCTTTGAATGCCGCTTGTGTGGTGGGATGTAAGCCATTATAAATCTAGCACTTACGCCTGAAAGAAAAGATCAAAGTGAGGCCAAAAAACTAAGTTGATGAAAAAATTGCAATGCTTGCTCATGTTTATATTGGACAAGGTTAGAAGTTAGAAGAGAGTAGTTAAATTTATACAGCAAGAAGTATCCTTTCCCATGTTTATTGAAGAAAATCACACTAATCTCAGCCCCTGATCAAATTTCTAGCTGAGAACAAGTGAAAAATTGAAGTAAATTGAAACCTTTTCTTCGTATAATCGTAAAGTGAGAGTCTGATTATACTCAGTTTCGTTCCTATGAAATTGATCATTCAGCAGCAACTATCACACGAGACTTTCACTGGGTTATCATTTTGATCGCGTTTTTGGAGCCAAATAGAGAGTCGAATTCATCATATTCACACAAAACAGAGCAGATTATTGATTCATAACAAAAGCTTTCAAAGTAATTATAAAGACAGAGGCAGATAGATTTGAAAAGTTGAAAGACAGACCAAACTTATACAAGCACGCTGGGAAATGATGAAGATGAAATTGGGGGTGCTCAATCGCCACTTCTTCTTTACCAACGCTTTACTCTTTGGTTTGCATTGCCTTTTGAGTTTCTCTAAAAAGATAACGAATAATTTTTCAACTTTTTCAAACAGTTCCAGCAAGCAAAAAAAAAACTTATTCTGACATCATAAAAAAATAATCATCATCATCCAACGAACGTACACATATACTAATCACGAACACCTAATTAAGCAGAGCAAATCACTCTCTAATTAACTACTTAACAATGAGTCCAGAGGTCCACGTCACCCAAGATGGAGTCGTCCCATTCCCATTTGTTGTGGTTGTGGACCCCATCATCATCAGCATCATATTCTCTAACTCCTTTAAATGGAAGGCCCTCCATTGGAAAATCACCCATATTAATCCCATCATTAATATGTTCTTCTTCCACACTTGGAACGTTCTTGTTGCTCTCATCATGCTCTGCCTGAAACATCTGATTCTGGCCATCTCCAATATTGCACAGCATTGGCATTGGCATTGGAATTTGTGTGCTGCTGTTGCTGCCCCCTTCTTGTGCTAGTAGATTAACTGGTTGACAAAAATTGTCACTTGGAGACTGGTCTAGAGTTGTTGAATATGGCCTCTTTGCGCTTGTGCTAGCATAGTTTGAGGCTCGGGGTCTCATGACTTGCACATTCCAATGCTTGTTCTTGTCTTCAGTTTCTTGAGCATTTAGCTTCTTGCTCAAGTGACAATTCCAGTAGTTCTTCACATCGTTACCGGTCCTTCCCGGAAGTCTAGCTGCAACTAATGACCACCTGAAAAATAAATTTCTCTCGGGTTTCTAAATGCGTGCGGTTTACGAGTGATTACGACATTATATATGTAATAGAGGAATGCTATTTACTTGCCTATTCCCTAGGAGCTTGTGGAGCTTGATGATGAGATCAACTTCCTCTTCTTCAAAGCTCCCTCTCTTGATGTTTGGGCGGAGATAGTTTAACCACCTCAGCCTACAGCTCTTACGGCACCTGTTTAGACCTTAACACACCACAATCCAACATATATATATCACCACCATCCATACATTTGAATTTGATGGATTAACAGTGAGACACTTAACAAAAGCTTACCCTGTTTAGTCCTCATCAACTTCATTAAAACTTAAAACACCATCCATATCTAATATTGTTTATAATATACACATATATCTTCTAAAAGGGCACACTTCCATGCAGATAAATTCACAAAGAACCCAACCAAAATGCCTCTTATAAAAGGGTGTGTTGTGTTGCATTATTGCATTATTGCATAGGAAAGTTGAAATGTATTTATTTGACTTTGCATAATATAACACCTACCTTAAAGCTATGAGGAAGAATTTCCCTGTAGTATGCATGAAATTATAAATAGAAGTGGTATAACTTCTCATTTCTACTTCCAGGTCATTTTCATGTTACTTGAGCTAAGTTTAATTCGAGAAAGTTTTTATTTTTATATTTGAGTATAAACCATCTTGATAAAATTATATCCAGGACTCCGACCCAACTTGCAAATTTAGACTTATATAGCATGTAATTTTCGATTGCATTAATTGAACAAATTGAATAATTAAGTCACAAGTTTCATGTCAAAAGAAGAAATTGATCAGTACTGATCATTGAAAAATCCAATTAGAATAATAATGATGGAAAAAGTTGTGAAATAATTAATTAAAGCAATAGAATGAAGTTAATTAGCATACCAGCCAAGAGAGGGACACGATGCCATTTGCCTTCTCCATACTGCTCTATGCATTTCCTGAGCGATTGATCTTCTTCCTTTGTCCATGGAATGCCACCCATCTCTTGATCCCCTCCTGAATCCTGATCCTAAATCTCTACTCTCTCATGTGTCATCTGATGCAGAATGCAAAGTTGAATATATATATATATACACCATATATATTCTACCTTTTTGTCCTTTTTCTTTTCTATAGTGCCTAACGGACCAAAAATGAAAGCCTACAGCATACGCATATCCACATGAATTAGAAATTTAGAACATGGCCAATGGTCCATCTTCTTTCTACGACAGTATGGCTCTATGTATGTTTATAATGAGGCAGCATTATTATGTCTTTTGCGATACATCTTTTTCAAAATTTGGCCAAATTAATAACAGCGCTATATATATCCTCAAATAATAAAAGTCTGTTGCTGCTGCATTTGCTTGTTATTTTCTAGCTGCTAGTTGACTCTTAAACTCAAATTTCTGCAACTTATATAGGAGGGGAGGAGAGCCCTTAAATATGTATCGATCGACTCGATCAGACATCCGCACAGGTGACAGATCAGAGAGCCAAAAGGGAGGGACCGCCATGTCAATTAATAATGTTATATCATGAAGTCCATATGAATATGAAAGAAGCAAAGGTGCAAGGACCATGCATTTGCATTGAATTTGCATTGCATGCATGCATATAAAACTGGACTGGACCACATGAAATCTTGGCTATTCACAAAACAAAAGTGGCCTGATTTTGAGGCGCAGGCAGCAATTTGATTCAGTGTTTGAACGGTTTATCGATATATTATTGTGTGAGCTCTGTCGTGTAGCTAGCCTGGCCTAGCCTAGCCTGGCCTAGCCTTGCTTGATGATATAATACTTCCCCGGTCTTTAAATCTGGGAAGCTTGGCTGGTGACATTGAAAACGACCTGACAATCATATGCAATATTGTCCTCTGAAAACTACAAGCCCACATGCAAACCTTCAGATATTCTGGCACGCAGTGCAGATTGATGTTTTCCCACCTTCAACCCCTACAATGCAACTCCTCGTTGCCCCATTCATTAGTTTTCTAAGCAATTATTATCACATAGCTAACAAAGCTAGAATCACATAAATCTATTAAAGACTGAAAGTGACCCTCACTTGTCACTACCAACATGCATCCAAATCTTTGTTCAAAACAAAAAGCATCAAAGTAAAGATTTTTATGGGCTACCCCCTTACATAGTTTTTTGATAGATCTAAGCCCAATAAAAAACCCAAATGATGAAACATCTAGCCCAAAACCTTTTCCTTAGTGGGTCGCTTTTTTGGTTTTGCAGCTGCAGATGTTAAACTCATCTTTTTAGACCATATCATTTTAACCGAAATGTTATTCACACTCTCATTCACGTACAATTTCTCGCTTGTGTTTTTATACCGAAAAAAGCACAACGATTCTTTTTTAGAGTGCTAATAACAACAGTACGAAAGTGTTTTCCTCTTTCCGGCCTGACGACGCCGGAGCAGAAAGTAACTATATTATAGAGTAGAGTTGTAATAAAAGTGAAGACCCTTTATAAACCACACCACTATATGTATGAGGCATTAACGCGTTAGGTGACCATAGAGAGAGAGAGAAAGAAGAGGGCTTTTATTTTAGTGGTCATCCCACCCACGTGAATAGGCTTTGTGTTGTGAAATGTGAATAAATGGGTGAATTGTGGCGTCCTTTTTTATTAACTCATTGGTCGGTTGCTAACGTCGTTTAGCACTGAGACATTTGTCGTTTCTGTCAGCTCAGCTTACGCTGTGCTCTGGAATTATCAATACATGACACTGTTGACTTTTACACACTCACTCACTCCTCGCTTCTTCTTCGTCTTCTATGTTATGGGGCCCACACCCACCCTCCCCGGCCCCCGGCCAGAGCAAAACACGTCTGCTTCCGGTGTGTTAGTCGTGGCATCCTTTCCATGTGCTTGTGCATGACATGAGATTGGTCAACAATATATATACAAGACATTTGCACGATCCCCAAAGCGGTGCCTTGGAGTCAAAGTTATTTAACAATTTCTCCACCGAAACCAACTTCAACGTTGAAAGTTGAAACCATTACCATACTGCTGCTAATAAATTTAAGGCACAACCAAAGAAAGAAGAAGGAAAGAGTCAAAACTTTTACACTCCTCGATTTCCTCCATGCCTTTGCCCCCTCCTTGCGTTCTGCCGCGGTTGACGAACTTTTGTTTTTCTTTCTTTTTGTCCTATAAAATAAGGGGGTTTTTTTTATTTATTTATTAAAAAAATAATCTCTTGCAAAATGGTGCAATGTCATTTGAGGATGTTTTTCAACACTTAATTTTGACTGTAATGTATTAATAATGTTTGTTTTTGCAATCCCAGATTCACAGCAGGCATATATTCACATGAACTTGTGGCATTGGTGGGTGCTGCTGTTCCTGTTTTGGTCTTTTTTTTATTTTATTCACTTGATTCCAACTTCTGGGATTTGACTATCCAATTTCCACTAGCACTGTTGCTTCCTGCAGGGCAGAGCAGAGTTAACCCTAATTGAATATCAGTTTATGGGTCGGTTGAAGCCCAATTACAAATGGGTCTGGGTATTGGGTAAGTCCAAATCCAATCTAACTTACTGCTGTTGCAAATAGTGTATTTGGGTTGTGGTCTTTTTAGCTAGTATCGTTGTTGTTCATGTTATATCGCTGTTCACAATCCACATGATATCTGCTGTTTCAAATGGCAAATACTGTTTGCTGGATTCGGGCTGGGAAGCGGACAAGATCCCAAAATGGTGGGGGTGACTTCTCGAAAAGCGCTTCTTCCCGAAAGTCACTTTTTAGTAGCTAGAATAGAACCACCTCCAACTCCAAAATCCAACTCCAAACAGTAAAGCAAAGCAAGTTTGGCAGCAGACCTACACTACATATATATATATATATATATATATATATAAATTAATAATTATACTTGGTTGGCAGCCTGGCAGCCTGGCATTATAAATAAAATAAATATTCAAATCCTTTTTCACCTTGGTCACACACGCACAGTCACACCCACCCACCCGTCACCTTTCTCAGATTTCTTTTTCTCCAGGAGAAGAGAAGAGTTGAAAGAAAGAAAGAATTCACATTTCTCATCTTGGGGGGGGGGGGCCCCCTAGGAATGTGGGGTCCACCTACCAGTCTACTGCGTGGACCGAGGAAAACCCATCTTTTAATCAGGGGCATGGTGGCAATGTGGCATTTCCAGACTGAGGAGTTGGATAAACATCGTCAACCACCGCAAAGCAATCCAAAA